AGCACTGTACGCAGGGCTACATCGGTGACCAGCCATTCTTTGAACTCCGTCTTCCAGCTTGGAACGATTTTGCGAGTACGTTTTGACTGGTCATACTCCTTATTTGCCGCAATTCTATCGATGCTCGACTTCTGTTTCTTTGTTGGAGGGTCTATCCCCAAAAAACGATACATGTTGTACGCGAAATGAAAACTTTGTAAACAAACTACTCAACGATAGAACTGGTCAGGGGTCACCGGAAGTGTCACTGCACCATGGGAGGTCACGTACCTATTATTATGTTAATAAGTCAATGGATTCCGTGTTGTGGGTTGAGAATGCGTGTCGGCAAGTCGCGATGTGCGACGGCAGTGCAATATTTTCATAGTTTTGGCTGATCACGTTTCTGTTTAAAATGTTTAGAGCACATATAAAGAATGGTAGCTTGTTTTTATTTTAATTTCGGCGGAAGAATGTGGTAACATGTTACCCGACCACCGGACAGGGAAGTTTGAAATTCAACCAGTCCGATACGAAAGTTACCCGTCTCGGGCGTGCGGACGGGCAGGAATTTCCTACACTGATCTTATTGTCTTGTATTGTCGGTAAACACCTCATTAGTTTGCAGCCGTTGGCTTTATGCCTACACAAGTAAATTTGCAAGAATTGTAGTAAATATTTGATGATTCATTATTGCTCTTGATTACTGTGGGCCGTAATCGGTGTTCTCCAGAGAATTTTAGGGCAGCAGTCAGGCAGCATTATATGGTAACAGGGTCACTACTTTGAGATCTTTCCCATAAAAAGAAATTCTACCTCAACTAATCTAACCTATGATTGTCAAGCTGTTATTTAACATATATAGCTAAGCATAAAAGCGGTACTGGTACTCGCTAGCTGGATATCAAATTAACATGGTTATGCGCTATGCTGGAATAATCGCTGAACTCAAGACTGCTTGAAGTCGATTATAAATTTGTGAAGTAAATTCAGTATCAATGAGTCTGTCATCACTTTTTAATTAGTTTTGAAATATATAGAATACTTAAGAGAGACAGTGTCAGAGAGGTCATACTACCACCACATCCAAGACTGACAATGCATGCATGTTTCTATAAATGACTGTAACTTACTGATCAAGCCGGCAATTCAGTTAAAATGTTTAGTAAGCACAATTAACCTGCATATTGAATGAGGAAAATAAATCACAAATGTACTATGTCCGAAACTAAAACAACTGCCATTTTTAGCTCCGCTGTCGACTTTGTCGAGCGGAGCTTATCATATGAGTGATTGTCCGTCGTCGTCGTCGTCCGTGTCAATGTTTTACTTTTTCGACTTCTTCTTGAAAACTACAAGCCTAAATGCTTTGATACTTGGTGTATATGTACCTTGGGTAGACCTCTCTTAGGTTTGTTCATTTCATGTTGATATCTTTAATTCTCTAATTTTGGTGAATATTTTTGTCATTTTTGGTAAAAACTGATATTTTCGACTTCTTGTTAAAAACCGCAAGTGCAATTGCTTTGATATTACATATATAGGTACTACATGTGGACCTCTCTCAGATTTGTTCATTTTGTAATGATATCTTTAATTCTCTAATTTTGGTGAATATTTTTGTCATTTTTGGTAAAAACTGATATTTTCGACTTCTTGTAAAAAACCGCAAGTGCAAATGCTTTGATATTACATATATAGGTACTACATGTGGACCTCTCTCAGATTTGTTCATTTTGTAATGATATCTTTAATTCTCTATTTTTGGTGAATATTTTTGTCAATTTTTGGTGAAAAGTGATATTTTCGACTTCTTGTTAAAACCGCAAGTCCCAATTGCTTGATACTACATATATAGGTACTACATGTGGACCTCTCTCAGATTTGTTTATTTCGTGATGATATCTTCAATTCTCTAATTTTGGTGAATATTTTTGTCATTTTTGGTAAAAAGTGATATTTTCGACTTCTTGTTGAAAACTGTAAGTCCGATTGCTTTGATACTATTCATATTGTTCATTTTCTAATGATGTCTTCAGTTCTTTAATTGAAATGTGCATTGCTAACAGCGGAGCTATCTCAGCCGATAGGCTGCTTGTTTTTACTGTTGACATGTGGTAATGCAAATTACCAGCACTTGCATAAAGCTGTTAAGGGGGAAAGTAAAACAAAGGATATGTTGATTTATATTGATGATTGTATAGTAATGAGTATTCATAAGTACAAAGTATTGTAACCAATTATAATAATATAAAACAATATTTTTTTAATTTAAAGGGTGTCATTAAATATAGTTTATCAATTTTTTTTTTCGTACGTTATGTTAATTTGTATGCAAATTAGCATAAGACAGTTTTTTGGGGAGAACATTGCTGTAATCAATTGTTACAGAGGAGAATCTTTGCAAACACTATTCAACGGCGTAAACAATAAAATAGACGTTGAAATGGTCACAGACATTCAGATGCTTTTTCGTAATTCATGCAAATTCAGAGCTTGGTACTTCACATAATAACCACATGGCTCTAATAAAGCTTCTTGGATGCTCCCACATTGTTACTCAAATAATAATGCATGCATAGGTATACAAAAACATCCGCAGCTAGAAATATTTGTAAATGACAAAGCAGACAGCTTTATCACTATGACTCCCTGTCTTGAAGATCTTGGTGAAATGTCTGCTACCATCTTTAGTTTGTATGTATGATAACCATTCATTTACATTTCAGACAACAAGAGAGCATATCTTCTGAGAGAGAAGAACTTGAAAGACATCGTAAATTGCTACTCAAGAGAAAACCAGGCAGTGCATCACAGTCTATTAGTAGTAAAAGTAATAAACCAAAAGCAAATGGTGGTGACGATGGTTTTCTCAAACCACCAGCACCATCTTTAACACTCCAAGAATACTATGAACAAGAAGAGATTCTAAAATTAAGAGCTGCTTCTCTTAAAAAAGTAAGCAAATCCGTTCTTCACTTGGGAGGGCTAGATTATATATTACATTTTCACATTTTTTAGCTCCGCTGTCGACTTTGTCGAGCGGAGCTTATCATATGAGTGATTGTCCGTCGTTGTCGTCGTCCGTGTCAATGTTTTACTTTTTTGACTTCTTCTTGAAAACTACAAGCCTGAATGCTCTCGTAGGTTTGTTCATTTCATGTTGATATCTTCAATTCTCTAATTTTGGTGAATATTTTTGTCATTTTTGGTAAAAAGTGATATTTTCGACTTCTTGTTAAAAACCGCAAGTGCAATTACTTTGATATTACATATATATGTACTACATGTGGACCTCTCTCAGATTTGTTCATTTTGTAATGATATCTTTAATTCTCTAATTTTGGTGAATATTTTTATAATTAGTCCCCGTTCGGACGAAGTCCGAAAACGGGGACTTATAATTTGGTCTCCGTGCGTCCGTGTGTCCGTCTGGAGTCATATCTCAGAATCCCTTGGACCGATTCTGTTCATTCTTTGCATGTGCCTAGTACTTTATGTGGGACATATGCACATGCAGTGGTTTAGCGATTCGATTCAAAATGGCCGACTGGCAGCCATCTTGTTTTTTTGAAAATGTTGTATTTTGGACATACTTTGTCAGTTTTCATTCAAACTTGGTACATAGATTATACATGTTAGGATACATGTCCATGATGATTTATTTCACAATTGGATCAAAGATGGCCGACTGGCAGCCATCTTGTTTTTTGAAAATGTCGTATTTTGGACATGCTTTGTCAGTTTTCATTCAAATTTAGTACATAGATCATACATGTTAGGATACATGTCCCCGACCGTCCGTGAGTTCCTGAGGAAGTCCGTCCGTCTGTCCGTGCGTCAGTCTATCCAACGTCATATTTCAGAATCCTGTGGACCAATTCCGTTCATTCTTTGCATGTGCCTAGTACCTTATGTGGGACAAATATGCACATGCAGTGATTTA